CAAAACTCTTAATAGTATTTTAAATTTCAATGAAGGTTTTGGTAAGAAATGGAGATTATATAAAATAAAAGAATTGAGGAAACTCTGAAAGTTTCTTTCCATAAAATATAAATTACTCAACATTTAAATCCAATTAGGCATGGAAGATCAGTATTGACACTGGATTTTTGTGTTTTATATTTGTTTCAATATATTCAACTGCAGTTAAAACATTTAATATTTGTCAACATGCTTTCACAAAAATAAACATTAAAACACTAAGCTTTGTTCTTTTTCAAATCACTACAAGGTATGACTTGCTGTTTATTAAAGATTCCCTTAAAAACCCAAATCTGTTTTATAATTTGCTCAGAGACATTCTATAAAGTAGTCTTGAAAATCTACACCTTTTAGTCTCCTTGACAGCTGCATCAGTCCAGTGTGATACCAGCACATTCCCTTGCAAGGTGTCATCTATAGCTGTACTTACTGGCTATTTAAACCATATACTACATTATCACAATTGGTTTAATAACTGATTATGACATATCATTAGAATGTATGAAATCTTATGTCACATTTGCAAAATGTGGTTTTTTAGTTGTTTTCTACACTTCTAGGCTATATATCAAAAATAAGAGAGTAGCTGCATACCTGTACATAAAACCAAGAGTATAGCTAGGAAAAAAAAAAAAAAAAACAGTATAAGTTTGAATAAGAAAATACCAAAATACCACTTGGAAGGCTGAGACAGGAGGATCACCAAGAATTCTAGGCCAGCCTAAACAGCATAGTGAAACTCTATCTCAAAAAAAAAAAAAAAAGAATGAAAGAAAGGAAAATAAAAAAATAATTTTAACAGTAATATTTTCAAATACAAGCCTCATGAACAATAAAAAACAATAAAAACATTAAATAGCACTTTTACAGACCACACTTTTCTAAAACAATATTTTATAGGAAAGTTTTATAATTTTCTTTTTCTTCTTATTTGATACCGGGTCTCACTACACAGTTTAAACTCATAGTGATCCTCCTGTCTCAGCCTCCCCACTGCTGGAATTACAAGTGTGTGCCACCACACCTGGTTTCAGGGCATCATGGTGTGTCTGGGGTTCCAGGGCTGGCATAGCATGTGGTACTGGGGATGGAACTCAGGTCCTTGTGTTTGCCAGGCAGACAATTAGACCACTGAGCTATCTTCCCAGCCCTATAATTTTCTTCATATAAATCAGTTTTCTAGTTCTCATTAGTCTTAGTTTTTGTTGTTCTTAGTAGGATTTACCTTCTCCATATATATATATGGAGCCAGCCCCTATACTCTTGTTATTAATCATTTTTTAGATATCAAATACAAGGATGAACACCACCTCCAATGACTGTTAATAAAAATAAACCTTGTGTCTCAACCTTCATTGTACATTAAGTCAGCTTTTAACCAATATATATCAATGCCTGGTACCCATCCCCAGATTCCAATTTAATTAGTCAGAAGTGGGAACCAGGCATCTGTGTGTGTGTGTGTGTGTGTGTGTGTGTGTGTGTGTGTGTGTTCTGGGCTTACCCCAAGGCTGCAGGTAATGCTAATGTGCTAACACTCACCTAGAGGTAAGCTCAAATCTTTGCCTATATGTGTGTGTGTGTGTGTGTTCTGGGCTTACCCCAAGGCTGCAGGTAATGCTAATGTGCTAACACTCACCTAGAGGTAAGCTCAAATCTTTGCCTATAATTCATGTAAGTGGAAAATTACTGTGCCTTGTATATTTATCATACTATCCAACCATTTTACAATGTGTATAAATATTTCTTACTGTCTATATCTCCATTTTGCTTTTCCTTATCTCCAGAATAACACTAAATAACACTGTAGAAAACATTTTCTTCCTGATTTCATTACAAATGCCTCTACAATTGCACCATTACAAAGGGTGTTAGCCACTGGTAAGAAATAAATTATCTTTACATTGAAAAGACATTCTAGGGGCCAGGGAGATGGCTCAGTGGAATAGGTGCTTCCCTGGCAAGCACAGGGGCCTGAGTTCAATCCCCAGTTCCACAAAAAAAGAAAGAAAGAAAAGACATTCTACTAGATTTTAAAAAATATGTATGAGACAAGTTTTTTGACTTGCAAAAATTATGTTTATTTTATTTGACACCTTACCTTTTTTTTTTTTTTTAACGGAACCAGGGATTGAACTCAGGCCCTTGCGCTTAAGGCAAGTGCTTATTCTACTGAGCCATCTCCCTGGCCCTATGTTTATTTTATTTGACCTAATGGTATTAACAAACTACACTTGTGTTTAAAATCTTAGCTACTGCTCAAGGACTCCTGAAACTTTACACATGTACAATGTTTTAAACAAAGATTTTTCTAGTTTTTTTTAAACAAAGATTATTCCTTCACATGAAGTCACTAAGAGATCTTTTTAACACAGCATGTTGCTTTTATGCAGGCTCTCGTGCTGTCAGTGCTGTGGCAGACTTGTACAAATGCAAAATGAAGAACCTGTATAACTAACCCCATCCTCGAGAAGAGGCAAGTTCTTTAACCGCCTGCAGGTGCTCTTTCTTGAGTGATGATAGTGATCAGCATGCTCCACACACTACAGTTGCACTAAAATCCTCACAATTACAGAATTTCAGGTCTCCTAAGTGGCAAAAGCTCCCTGGGAGCCTAACAGAGGTCTCCCCATTGTCCATTTAAGTCCGCTACATGAGAGTGCCTGAGATCTTGCTTCTCGCAACATTAATGGTTAGGAAAAAGGTAAGACAAACATTGTAAGGGATCTAAATGTCAACTCTACAGGCAGATGATTATAAAGTCTAGAGTATGTTTCTAGTCATGAGGTGGACAAAAGAAATCAAGATGGATTAATAAGAAAATATTAAAAAATTAATATTACAAGAAAAATAATAATATTAAAATCATACTTTTTAACAAAAACTGCAGCTTCAGGGCTGGCCAAATAGCTCAGTGGATTACAGCACCTGCAGGCAGGCACAGGGGCCAGGGGTTCAATCCCCCAGACTACCATGCCAGCCCCACCTCTGGGGCTCTCTGAGACAGCAATTAAGACTGGGCGTGGGGGCATGCACCTGTAATCCCAGGTCTTGGGAGACTGTAAACAGGTGGATCACTATGAGTCCGATCTAGTAGTGAGACCCTGAACACCCTGTAGACCCTTCCTAAAATAAAAAAACAAAAACAAAAACAAAAAAACCTGCAGCTTCAGAGCACAAAAGTTATCAAGGTTTTATTCCAAATTTCTGGGTAGTTTGTTTTGTTTCCCCTTTTGTAAAAAAATTCCTAAGATCCTTAAAGACAGTAAGCCTACAAACTAGGCTCTGGGCCTTACGATGCCTTTCACCCACCCCCACCTTTCTCCGGGGAAGGGAACTATTAGGAACAAAACACATCTCAGCTTCTATCACATGCAAATGTTTTACATTTTAACACAGCTGACCAAGGTGGCAAGACCTGGCATACTGATACACATTTCAGATAATCCACTTTAGGGACAGCCTCAAAAACCCCATAAACAGGCCCAGCCCAAGCCCACAGGACTCCCTCTTGAGGGCCTGAAGTCTATTTCTTTGAGTATGTATTTTTAAAATTCTGCCAAATAAATCCTTTTATGCCTCCCACCGACACATCCTGAAAATTCTTTTTCTGTGATGGGAGTCAGGGACCTACAATCTGCCTATGGATGAAGTGAGCCAGGGTTTCCCATTTCTGCTTGGGGACTTCCCTGGATTCAGTCTGTTGACAGTCCTACCTTCTAACTAGAAGTTGTAAAAATCAATTACAGCAGTTTATAGGATTTTACCTTCATGCTGACTATTGCAACTCGGAGGTTTGTCCCTCCAAGATCAACAGCCAAGGCACTCAGAGTTTCAAGAATGTGGTCGATGTCTTGGGAGATATTCTCCTTCACAGGAGGAAAGCAGAATTTCTTTTGTAGTGGCTCTTGAAGATCAATAGATTTGAGAAACTTCAAAATCCTTGGAACAGCATTTCCATCCCCATATATCTTTGAACTGCAACATCCCAAAAACACAATTAAATGCTTCTGTTACACACGTTGTTATATTACAGACATAATTTAATGAAATCTGAGAGCTCACATAAAAAGTATTCACCCTCTGCTTTTTAAACTACCATCTCAGCCAGGTATAGTAGTGCACACCTCTAATCCTAGGACACAGGAGGACTGCAAATTCAAGTACTCCCTGGGCAACTTAGTGAGACCTCATCTTAAAATAAAATATAAAAAGTGCTGGGAATGTAGCTCAGTGAGGCAGACGTGGGCTCGACTCCTAGTATCATCATCACAAACAAACATACACACACACTACCATCTCTGGGCCAGGAGTGCAGCTCAGATATGGAGCCCTTTTCTAGCATCCACAAGGGCCGGGGATATGGCTCAGTAGAATACGCGCTTGCCTGGCATGCACAAGGAACTGAGTTCAATCCCCAGTTCTGCCAAAGAAACAAAGCAAAACAAAAACCACAGTCTTGCATCCACAAGTGCATGGGTTCAATCCCCAGAACTTAAAAATAAATAAATAAATATAAAAAGTAGTATCGCTACAATGTATATATACTTCAAAACATAACCCACATGAGAAAAAATCATATTTTATATACTTATAGAAAATCAGGGGCTGGTGAGATGGCTCAGTGGTCTAAAGCACCTACTTAGAACAAGCTAAGCTAAGCAAAAGCACAGGGACCGCGGTTCAATCCCCAGCACCACATGCCAGCCAGCCCCGCCCTCTGGTGGGCTGAACTGGCCACACACACAAAATAAATAAATAAATAAATAAGATTTTAAAAAAAAAAGAAAATCAAATTAGGCTAGAAAAAAGTATTTCTGGCAGAAGTACTAAACTAACTGAGACAAATTTTTTTTTAAAGATCAGAACTATGGCAGAGTACTAAGGGAATAGTGCCTGCTACCCGTCTCACCAGCAGCACAGCAGACAGTTCTCTGAAGAGAACAACATGACCTAGGGAGCTTTAAAATAGTTCCTGAGGCAGTCCCCTTCTAAAGTGTCCACAGAGAGGTCCTATACTCACCAAGGGTACTGTTTACCGAACTGCAGGTTCAGCGCTTGCAGTATTTTGTCCTGCGTGTCAGCATCTCGGACGTGAAGGACATTCTCCCCTGGGTAAATCCAGTGACACATTTCAATGATTTAGAAGCAGGAATATCCAAAGAACAAAGAAATTAGCAATGCATTGTTTATAGTTTAGTCCTAAAATCTAGCAGACTGTCAAGCACTTTTGGTAAAATCTTCAAACATTCAAGGGAAAACTTCCAAGGGAATAAAGCATGGTTTTACTTGTTTATTGACATAAGCAAAGTGGCTGAATCTAGCATCCCTGTACAGTTTACCTAGTCACCTAGTAAGTCCACCTCTCAACCTGCCCTGTGTCTATACAGCCAGCTATTCATTGAGGAGGGCAGGTATTACAGGCCGGCCAGCTGCCCCAGCAGTCACCTCTCCACACACTTGCTGATGAGTGTTAAACAGTGACTGCAGCCAGGAAGGCTAGACTGTCAACAGGCTCAGCCAAGAAGAAAGGACAAGTGGTGCTAGACAGGTGTAAGGTCGGGGGAAGGCTGTTGGGTACTGTTTCTATGACATGACATGCCGAAGCACGTCTACATGATGACAAAGTTAAACACACTTGGAAAAAACAGACGGCTGCTGGACAGGGCCCTGAGAAGGCACATAGGACAGGGCTTAGAGCACACGGAGGAAGGAGGAGGTTGAGCTGTGGCAGCAGAAGACACACACACATCTCTCCCCACCCCACTGTGAAGAAGGTTGGAAGGAAAGGAATCCTGGCCTGGTACCCACTTTTGTGTAAGTGCAGGGGCAGAAAGTAGAGACCACATTGCCAAATCTAGGGTCCAATTCTCCTTGCATGTCTTTCTTGAACTCCCAGCAGCTTTCAACATCACTACCTCAAAATTCTTTATTCTCTTGGCTTTAGTGCTATCACTCTCTCCTGGTTTCCCTCTGACCTCACTGGCGGTTACTTTTCAATCTCCCTTGCCAGCCTGCCTTCTTCACCAGAACTCTAAAGTATTCTAAGAATGAGAGAAGATCTAAAGATAATGGCAAGTGAGGGTGGCACTTCTGAAGAAAGGCCCGTGCTGGAACTTGTCTCCTTGGCTCTAGTCCAGTTCTTTTTCCATTACATGCATGTTTCCCTTAGCTACTGATAGATATTTTCATGTACACAGCATTAGAACATGGGCAAATGTTAATAACAGGACCTAGCGCAACACATTCATCACATACTACTACTTACACTTTAATTAAAAAGCACCTTTTTAGAACTGCCATCTTCTCAAGTACTAGCTGAACGTATTCTACACGAGGCCCAGGAAATGACGAAACTGGTATTCATATACTGATGACACATTCAACCACATCCTCTCTTCTTGTTTATTTTTGTCTTGTAAGACAGGGTCTTGCTATGCAGCCCACACTGGCCTTGAACTTGCAGCATTCCTGCCTCAGCCTCTCAAATGTGGGGATTACAGGCATGGGTTACCAGGCCCAGCGCACATTCTCTCTTGAACAAGGCCATCAGAGACCATATTTTTTTCTTTCTTAGGCAGGGTTTTGCTATGTAGTTCAGGCTGGCCTTGAACTCACTGTATAGCCCACGTTGGCCTCAAACTTGTGACACTCTTCCTTCCTTAGCCTCCTAGGTGCTGGGATTACAGGTGTGCATTACCATGCTCAGCTAGACCATAATTAAGAATCCCTTAGCTCTAATTGATATTAGAAATACCATAAAAACCTAACTAGAGCTCTAAAAATGTTGGTAATCGTGTGCTATTTATAGATCTTAGGCTATCATTATTCAACTCATTTGCTCACTTGTTCATAAAAATGTACACTCTTCACTGGCATACACATACCTTATAAAAATCATACAAATATACAAAGCCTAGTCAGGTGAAATATAAGCAAAGGCAAGCACCTGTTTCTCTTCCAATCTGACGAGTGCCCAGATTGATCACAGGGGTTCCAAAAGCGCCAACCTCTCGTACCCCGCAACTGCTATTACCAATCATACAACCGGCATGGGCAACCAGCTGTATAAACTGATCAAATGGTACATGTTTAACTGCACGAAAATTGGGGTGATGCTCAATACCCTTCTTCCGCATCACTCGAACCATCTCTTTGCTCCCTGTGAAAATAGAAAGAAACAACTGTTAAAGAGTTCATGAGTGGGCCTGCCCCTTAGCTCAGTTCTTTAAGTGGCTGCTTCAACAAAGCAGTCAGGCTCAGGTTGCTGTGGTTCGATCCCCACAACTCAAGCCAGCCAAACCTGCCCTGAAGGCATTCAGAAACAAAAAAAAAAAAAAAAAAAGAGTTCATGAGACAACTAAGCTATTTTCACTGGCAAGTGTTCTATGAAAATCTCCCTAAATGCTCTCCTTAGTTATCAGGGAGTAGTAATTTCAATGGTATTTTCATGAGTGAGCATATAAAACGCGTGGCCAGATCTCTGCTTCAATTCCATTAGGAACTCTGAATGGAATTAGCAGGGGCTTTTCAAACAGAAGTCAGTAAAAACCTTTACCTTAAACAACAAAGAAGAGGCTAAAGACAAGCAGTCTTCATCTCTAAACAGAAACATCTCAAGCTCCAACTCCAAGCCCATCAGACAGGTCTGCCCAACTCTGCTCACGTTTAGAGAATAGCTCAGCAGGATCACATGCCCATATATGCAGACTAAACTCCAAGAGAAACTCTGAAATTTTCTTTCATACTTTTTTTTTTTTTAGTGCTGAGGACTGAACCCAGGCCTCGTGTGTGCACAGAGCTATAGCCCTGGATTGATATTTTAAATGCCTGACTTAAAAGATACATAAAGAACTAATATTTAATGCATCGCTGCTTGCAACTCTATTTCTTCTAGCCAAGGAAGAAAAATTTGCTAATCTGAATGGTTACATGACAGAGAAGTGCCCACGGTTGGCAGGGGCCTTTGATTTAGCAGAAGCTATGTGTACATCTGTTCTCACTTTATGTGGCAAGGTAAATAAGTGATCTCAGGGTTTAATTCCTTGGATCACACATGTCCACTGCTTTCTGCATATGGTCTTGCCAGAGCACACCGGTCCTCATTTGTAATTACCGAGTATGTGAGCACACTAGAGGTACTCACTTCTACTCCAAGATCCAGGTTTGGAGTCAGCTCAAGGGTCCTATCAGCAAATAAGCCATGTGCACTAATGTAGTTTTCTAGAGAATTCTGTATTAGGGAATAGGACCCTAAGCCAGATAAGGTTAAAGTGATGCTTTCATACTTTCCTATTGTTCCCTGTACACATTTTACAAAAACCCGATGTAAAGTAAGCAGCATTGGTAACAAATATTCACCTTTAAATGATGGAGCCTTTTATTTTTACAGAGGAAACAAAGCTCTATGCTAGGTGTATACAATCAAAAAAGAATATTACAAACAATGTATCATTGAAAGATACATAAATACCCTATAAACATTTATATAGAATTTAAAGGATTAGGAAAGAATAAATATTACAGTTTTCTGAACAAAATCTGGATTGAATTCACTGGTGCTTCAGTTTATGAACTTACTTTGTTTTGTTTCTGAATTTGGGTTTATGTAGGGAAGATTGGCATGGTCTGTCATCTGATGCAGGGTTTGCAAAGGGAAGCAAAATTTTGCCAAACACTTTTGTATGCAAACGAATTGTTTGCAAAGAGAAGTACTCATGAACTGAGGTATTACTGTAGTTCCCAACTAACAGCTTATCTTGTTTCCCTTAGCATAAAAGATTATTCAAGAGACATTAAGAGAAAGGTTCACTCGAGTAAGATGGTGAGCATTTTGGCACTGCTGAGAAAAGGTTCTCCTTCACCAAAAAATGCCCAAGACTCAGCAACGCATAGTCTCAGCTAACAAAAACAGCAGTAATCAACAATTCCTCTGTGTCAAGCTCTGCTTTGGCATTTCTTATTTGTACCTCTTACCCTACGAGCTTGTCTAAGGGGTCAGCTTGTCAAAGGTGTAACAAGCCCTCAATACCCTCACTCGCCAGCAGATGATTGTGCGGGGCAGGCTGGAGAACAACTGGCTGGACACTCCAGATCCAAACTGCTTATGTGCAAGATTACATTAAGGGATAGCTATCATAAGAGAGAAGGAAAATAAGAAATAGCAATTGTGGCTATTTTAGGTTTCTGTCTCATGGCTCTTGGTGAAAACTCAAAAAGAATGAACATGAGACTAAAATAGATTATAGAGATTTTTTTTAAAAAACATTCATTCTTTATTAAATTTCTACCAAACAACAAAAAATCACAACTTTTTGATCTATGCCAAAACAAATAATTCTTTGGAAGCTGGAATGCATTTCAGAGTAGAGTGGCCTTCAACTAAAATAGCCAAGACAGGAAGGCAATCAAGGGGAAACAGAAACACAAAATTTGAAGAGGTAGGTGGCATGATTTCGTTTTCAAGTTCAGTTACCTGCATCAATATTTGGAAACAGAACAAGGGTCCGCTTGTTAAATGAGATAAGTGCATCCAGCGTTAACTCAAACATTTTTATGGAATGCTTAATGTCAGTGGTCACAGGGTGCTGCAGCGCAACAATGTAATCTTTACATTTTACATCATCACCTGTTCAGAGAAAAACCAAACCACATTCCTGCATTAGGGAAGAACCTTAAAAAGCAGCAGCAAAGTCTAAAAGCAAGACCCTAACATTTGTGTTTTTAAAAACTCTAAGGTAAAAATGGATTTTCAAGTTCTAAGCAGGGCACTCAAATTAGGAACAAATAATATGAACTTACAAAGGATCAGCAAATAGCTGATTTTACTGATTGAGGCTATAAACAAAATATACCTTTAAATAGCAGAAACCAAACAGTATTAGTTAATAATGTTACAAACCAAGGAATTTGGAGATTGGATGAACATTAAACATACTCTATGTCATGCACAGGTACTGCATCTCCCTGTATCATCACCTGCCAGATTCAACAGATGCTTGTCTATGCAAAAGACTGGAAAGACTTCACTTATTCCTGGGATACCAAGACATTCCTTAGCTAAAATGCAAACAGCTAAAATGCAAACAGCTAAAATGCAAACAGTCTGGACTCTCGTTGCTATGCTAAACAATACAGAACATTTATCACAGGGCCTGTATTATTCCACAAAACTAAAAATGAGCCCCACTCACTTTTCCCCCTGCACTGGGGAATAAACCCAGTATATCTCCTCAGTTCCCTCAACCCCACCTTTGTTTTTGAGACAAGGTCTAAGTTACTAAATTTCAACCTTGAAATCCTTTTTAACTTTTAATACTTAACTTTTAATCTAGTATTTTCATCAGGATTGCCATAAACTAATGTTCTAGTTACAAAGCTGGGTGTTCTAAGTGGCCAGCCAAACACTGTGTTCCTACAAGCATAGCAGTAGTAGGAGAACTTGCTCGTAAAGAGGCAGGGACAAACTTGTACAAAATGTATTACAGTCATGGGTGGGTGGGTCTGGCTCACTGTCTTGAGTTTTCTTCCTTATGATTTCAAAAACAAAATAAAATCCAGTTTTTGTCATTTTATCATCCTTCTGTTCATGAAAAACTGTCTAAATGACCCCAAGTAAGACTGTAAGCCCTTTAAGTATAATCTTGCTATACTGGATGGTTAACAACCTAAGTTTGCACACTAAAATTAGAGAAAAAGGAGGGCCACAAGGAAAGCGAACATTCTGGCCGTAGCCTTCTAAGGTCAATTAAGACTCAGGACATATGAGAACTTGTACTGTAACGTCATGTACCTCGGTAGTGTCCCAAATTTTCTGAACAAGAAGATTATGGGGCCAAAGAGGAAAGTGATCGATGATGTAGAGTGTGCCTAAGGAGAGTCACATGGGGAGAAGACACTCTCTCAGGCTTTCACAGAGAGCACATTGGCCAAGCAATGGCCGTGACTCATCCACATGGCTGACACTGACAAAGGTTCTACAATCTGAGGTACAGGATCTCAGGATAAATCCTGAGGGGATTTGACTGACCTTATCAGATCCAAAAGCTACAACTCTTGTTGTATAGGTCCTGCTTTATCTTGGTCTTTACCATCCAGCAGAAAAGTATAAAAATGAAATATAAGAAGTAAAGCCATGGTGTTATGTTGAGCTATAGGGGACTCAGGTCAACAATTTCTGACATTGCCAATGAAGCGGAACACCTAATACTATTATGAACTACTGAACTCTTTTAGAATATTTTGCTGAGTTTACACACCTATAATATTCAAATAACAGAACTTAACAAAAAAAGGGGATACAGATGAATGTCCTTTTTTATCTGTGTAATCAAAATGGTTAGGATAGATATATAGTTACATTCTCTTAATGAACAGAGGGATTTGTTCTACTAGTGTTTGTAAATAGGATATCATGTCTGCATCTTGTACAGCAATTAACCACTAGGAAGAATGTATGCAATGTGTTAATTATTGAAACTGTCCTACCAATTTGGTTTGAAACTGTCTCATTGCTATTTGTTTCTCAATAAAATTATGGGAAAAAAAATCTTGCTGTAGTCTGTTTTCTATCCTTTTATTTTTGTATATGTGTGCTAGAAATGGAACTCAGGACCTTGTACCTGCCAAACAGATGCTTGTGCTACTGACCTATATCTCTGGCCCTTCCACATTCATTTTAAGTTTTTCTGTAAAACAAAGTTTTCCAGATATATAGCTAACAGTACGATCAGAACATTTACTTAGAAGCATATGAAAGAAGACAAAATGACAAAAATTTGTTCCACCAACATTATCTAGGCAGGTTCTTTGATGACTATAAATCTGTCCAAAAATAAGAAATAAATAGAGTGGATTAATTTATACATTGAGAGAACCCAATTCCTTTCCCGTTCTAACATGATCTGGAAAAAATATGCACAATTTCTTTGATTTCACAACCACTGAATCAGTTTTCTATTGCATCATTCAATGCATTTACCTTTAGAAAAAGGTTCTATCTTAATCAGTCTTTTCTTTTCCCTTACTCAGTATTCTCACTATAAATTAACCAATTAGCATTCTTTCTGTAAACTTGTTTTCTTCACCTCTCACTAGCAAAAGGCAATTTACAGGAAGTTAAATCACTGATCATTGAAAAATTAAAGATTTCTACACTTTATTCACAAAGATAACAAAGTCTGATGACACAACTATGACTTCTGCTTTTCTAAAATATCATCAAACTCTCTTACAGTGATAAAAACTTAAGACTTGTTAAAGGCTTTTAATACTCATGATCTCATGAGTATTAAAGGCTTTTAATACTCATGATCTCAATAATACCACAAAAGGCATTAAAACTTAAAATAATCATTTTTCCTTTGTAGTAAAGAATAAAATGCAGAAGGCAAAAACAATACAACCACATCCCACACCAGTAATTAATATAACCAATGCCTTGGTATACATACTTCATAACCTTTTCATTGATTTAGCTTTTATAAAAATAAACCAGGGCTGGGGACATAGCTCAATAGACTAAGCACTTGCCTGGCAAGCACAAAGTCCTGAGTTCAATCCCCAGTACTGCAAAATAAATAAATAAATAAACAAGCAAACCAGGTGTGGGGGCATACAGCTGTAATCCCAGCACTCTGGGAGGCTAAGGCAGAAGGGGATCCCAAGTTCAAACCTAGCCTGGACAATTTAAGTCATCAGAGACCTTGTCTCAATAATAATTTTTAAAAGGCCTATGAATATAGCTCAGTTAGAAGACCCTTGGTTCATTCCTCAATATGAAATGGAGGGCCTTATATTAAACATAATTTTCTAAGTTGGGGGGGGTACTGGGGAATGAATCCAGGGCTTTATTTTAGCTGTCATTGATTTTTTTAAAAAACATTTTTAATGTATTTAGTACAGAGTCTACAAGGTCTCACTACACAGATCAGACTTATAGTGATCCTCCTGTTTTCAGCCTTCCAAGCACTGGGATTACATGCACTTGCCACCACACCCAATCTCAGTCACTGGCTCAACTTGCCCCAGTGGTGGGGCTGGCATAGCACCCCTAGGATCAAACCCCTCCCTGCACCTAAGCAGGTGCTTTAATCTGCTGAACTATCTGGCCAGGTGTCATTGATTTTTGTTTCTTTTGTCTAACATGCTAAGTTGCCCAGATTGGGCTTGAACTGGAAATCCTCCCTCAGCCTACTACAGTGCTAGAATTACAGGTGTGCACAATCATGTCTGGCTAGGAACTGTCCTTATAACTAAATAATCACCTACATTATATTTAGTAGATTAAAAGCATTCTATTTTATAAATATAGATTTTTTTAAAGTTCAATGAGTAATTGATTTTATAGAAAAACTCAATCTAAGAGATAAAGTAATATTTCTGGGCAAGATACAGGAACTATACATAACCTTAATCATTTACCAGCCCAATTATTTAATTACAGGACAACCAAAAATTGCATTTTTTGTTATTATTTATAAAATAATAGGAAATATTAAAATGACAATTTTAACAAATTTCTTCAAAACAAGAATCAACCAGTTGAAATGACAGCTGGTCCAATGATGCTCAGATTAATCAGTACATAAACAAATGCAATGCCCAAGTGAAGCTTGAGGTAAACTGCTAAATGGTTAATTTTTGATTGCTGAAAATTGTTCCTAAAAGAACTGAAGTATGCCCCACATTTTCTGACAAAACAGCCACAAGCTGATAAAGCCTGATGTACATACCTAACCACATCCGAATGATACTCATGTAGTCTTTGTTCTTCGCTGAGAGAAGTTTGTCGTAGGAAGGGCAGCCTGCCAACAGGATGCGATCGTGGTCCTCACACATGCTTATCAGGTGCTGCTCTGCACTGCGGGTGCAGCACACGTGGTAATGCGCCAGCTTCGTTATGGCATGTCTGATGGAGTCATCAATGGTCCCGCTGACTTCTCCGCCTTCAATGTGAAGGATGCGGATGTTCATCAGCGCGGCAGAGGTAGCCAAGGCCAGGGCGTCAAACCTGTCCCCGTGAACAATCATGATATCTGGCTTCAGGCGGTTAAGGACGTCCGGCAGCTTCACCAGAGCCAGGCCTACGGACTCGACCATGGCTGCTTCGTCCTCCCCCCTCACAATTGTGTGGAGCCGCGTGTTAATGTCAAAGTCATCTTGCTCGATCATGCGATACGTGTTTCTAGCAGGAGAGAAATAAGGATGTGAGAGCGCGAGCCCATTCTTAACACACAAAGCAGCCACTCTAACACTAGCCATAAAGGGAGAAGCCTTTTGATTTTTGCTTGTTAAAACAAAGTGAATAAATTGAAATACAACTTACACAAAAAATAAAGAGCAAAGACAAGCCCTTGCAGCAGACTGTGTAGTCTGGTCAGCTTTTCCCACGCATGTGTCTAGCAGTCATCCAGATCAAGACAAAACACACACTTCACCGCAGAAGCCTTCCTGTGCCCCCAAAGTGGTTCAGACATTTTTCTTTTGTTTTTTAATATCAATTTTTACAAAGAAATACATACTTTAATAAGAAAAATGTTACCTAGGAAAGCAATGCTCCTTTTTTTTTCTAGGAAAAAAGAAAACAAAAAACCAGGATATAAGTCACTATGCTTTTTTTTTTTTTTGTATTTGGTACAGAGTCTCACTATACAGCTCCTACTCATAGTGATCCTTGGCTGGGATTACAGGCCTGCAACACCCCAAGCCCCCCTAAAAAATGTTAACAGTTAAAAACACACTGAATGTGCAATTTCATGATCTATTTGATCTATTTCATATTTTCTTGGATCATTAGTGCATTAAGGATTCTTTATATACATCCCCATAGTGCAACCAGCACACTGGGGCTATGGATCCACTTCTCCATTCATGGACTGGGGAGATAGCTCAGTAGAATAAGCACTTGCCTGGCAAGCGCAGGGTCCTGAGTTCAATCCCCAGTACCACTAAAAAAAAAAAAAAAAACAGAGTCCCACTCTCCATTCACCTCAACTTGGACAACCTCTCAGGGCCAATCCTCCTTCCATTGTCCTAAGAGTAATTAAAAATAACAAAGACCTAGGAGATTTCTAGGGCTCCAGTCTGGAGCGCATGCATGTAAGATACAGTAGCCTGACCTGCAGAAACCTTTCCCCCACTCAAAATTCATGAAAGTACATGTCACGCCTGTGATTTTAACAGGGGTGGACTATGGGAAACTTATGCACATTAGATTCCCTTGAGGCGACCTAGTACCCTGTCGGTCAGTTTTCTCCTATTCCCCCCTCCGTCCTGGCATGGCTTTCTCTATTTGTGCCCCTTTTTGCTTCTGCTGGCACAAACCTGCTTGATCTGGGCACAACTTCCCCCACTAATTTCAATAAACGTAGCTGCTTTTTCTTTTACCATCAGGGCTATGTTTGCAATTCTTTGCTTGAGGTACATACACAAGAACTTGGACTTTCTTTTGGGAGCCCATCACACGCTATCAGTTCTGCATCAAACACATGTACTATTATTAGTTATTCTGTAGTTTTCTTAAGCTTTCCTACACAACTAATGGCGCTTCCAGGTGAGGTGGCTGAAGGACTGCCAAGAGTTTGAGGCCAGACTGAACTACATGCTGACAATGTCTCAAAAAACAAAAGGAATGGCTTCAAGGAGCAAGTCGGCTACCGGGAAGGGCCACCATGGTGACGAAGAGAATCCCGAAGAGAATCCGGCTGCAGCTCCCAGATGGAGAGGGTGATCACAGTGACAAAGAGGATGAACAGCCCCAAGTGGGTTTTAAAAAGGGAGACCTGACAGCTGAAGAAGTCATGAAAATTAAAGCAGAAATAAAGGCTGCCACAGCAGATGAAGGACCAGTCCCAACTGATGGAAGAATCATGTATCGAAAACCCGTCAAGCGGCCCTCAGATGAAAAATACTCAGGTTTCAGAGCAAGCTCAAAAAAGAAGAAAAATGAGGATGAAGTAAATACACAAGATTCCCTTAAAAAGAACTCGCAAAAGCAAATAAAAAATAGCAGCCTCCTAAAAAAAAGGAATAATAATGTTACCTATAAATCCAATCCTCTATTTATTTAGTTTTTTTTTTTTTTTTTTTTTT